ATGTATGTATGTATACTTTTGCCAAGTTTTCACTTGCTTTGGTCACGTNTCCACGGATTGATGGGAAACAATATTTCCGTTATCCCCCGTCGGTTAAACAAAGCAAATAAATCCTATTTCTATCCCCGACAAATGGAATTCTTCGCAACTTGCTGCTTTCCACCACGCGCCACGATCGAATCGACACGTATAACGATCCGTACTTACCATCCGAATCTTCGAATCATTCGAACGCAATTCAAACTTATTATTATTATCGAACTTATTTCGCCTCGTCGAATAAATTCCCTTCCACGTTTCAAATTTCGCCCTTCTCCAAGGTATCTTCGCTCAAATTTCTCTCCCCGATCGATTAAAACCCTCGATCTCCTCGTTACGCTTTAGACGAGACGCAATTTCATCGTCTTCTCTGAACCCATTGTCTCGCGAAATCCATCGTTATAACAGCCATTCGCGGAATCAGAGGCTGTGTGTGTATCGCGTCAACCATAAACGCAGGATCCTATTGAATCCGGCCTATAATAGCCTAGCCTCCACTTCAATCGACTAGGATCTCAAGAATTCGGATATTCCACGAATCTTATGTACGCTTATTCGATCGACGATAATTTCGAATAATTTGAGAGCTTGAAAAAAAAATCGTACCCAAAAAGAGCGAGAAAATCCTATTGAATCTGAGCCTATAATAGTCTAGCCTCGACTCGAATCGACTAGGATCTCAAAATTACGAGGGTCGAAAGAATTCGGCTATTCCACTCGAGAATCTTAAATTGATTCGACAGCTTAAGAAAAAAAAAATCGTAGCCAAAAATTTAAGAACGAGAAGATTCTCGAGTCAAAATTCTTGGTCAACGGGAAAAAAGAAACTCGTGAAATTGTATCTAAGGTTCGCGAAGCAGGTGTAGTATATAGTATATACACATACACGTAGATGTATCGTTGCCGCGTGGCGGTCGATCGCGATTGAACGGGCAGGGCGACGCAACGACAACAGAAGTCACCGGATAGATATGGGTGACGAATGGTTGGTCATCGAGATGAAAAAGGTTCGCTTACCGTGCCAGGTGGGGGCCAACGTTTCCCGTGTCGAACGTGGAGCTTGCCGTGATATCCGCGTCCGGGATCGCGCCCGATTCCATGCCGAGCGGCGCGATGCATTGGGCTGAAACAAACGAGAGAAATTGAGTTAAACTATCGTCTTCGAGACGCGTTTTCTTGGCACAGGGCCAAGAGTATACGACCGACTAGGTGAAGAAAAAAAGAGAGGGGGGAGACTTGTATCGATGTTTCGTCCTCGCCATCGGATCATAAACGGTTAAATAACCGAGCTAAGCGCTAGATATGAATCCGTCGGATAGAGCTAGGTTTACGTTCTCGTATACGATCTCCGCAACCCCTCTTTCTCCTCCCATCACCGAAGCTGGAAGAGTTAGGACTACCTCAACGTTTTCCTATCTTTGGCAACGATCAAATTGTTTCACGAGGCAACACGGCGGCGTTACCAGGAACCGGGCAACTCTTATCTTGATGCGATATTGTCCACCGTTTCTCCACTCCAGGCCGCGTTATATTTACGATTTTGCTATGGTTGCGCGAAAACTAAGAGAGAGAGAGAGAGAGAGAGAGAGAGAGAGAGAGAGAGAGAGAGAGAGAGAGAGAGAGAGAGAGTGAGCGATCTCATGGCTAACGAACGTGCGCACACCGACGCTTTCGGGACATTGTACGCGTGGCTCGATAAATTGTCGATGGAGTTGGAATTACGATTCGAACGGCGGCCCGTGTAAATTGAAATTCTCTGAAATTGAGTATTATCATTGACACTCGCGCGATTTCATCATCATCGCGCAGTGTGAATATTCGCGTTTCGCAGTGGGAACAGTGATATTCGCGTGAGCACTTACAAGGGTGTTCGATGATTCATTTCGTTGTTCGATAATTAGGAAAGAATTGGCCGTGGATCGATTATTATTCGTGAAAGATAATCAAAGACGATTAAAGTCGAGGATGTGTTTAAATAAAAATTAACTATTAAATCTCTCTCTCTCTCTCTCTCAAATAGAATTTTTAAATCGTAATAGAAGGAAAAGAGATGCGTACACATCCGAGATTAATCGTCGCACTCGTTGAACAAGAATCGAAAAAAAATCGAACGATATAATCGAGAATAAAGCGATCCGCGTTTATGGGAAAATTCGAATTACCGGTATAATAATCAAGTACGAATAAATCTGTCGAATATTGTGCAACGATAAATTTCCAATCGCGCATAAATTTGTCCGAAGAAATAATTTGGATAATTTGGATTAAACGATTCGCAACTCTCCGATATTATAGAAAATTTCCGAAATTACGAATGGAATCAAGTACGAGGAACACGTCGAATCCCGTGTAACGATAAATTCGTACAGCCCCGGCATCGGTGGCTCGATTATCGAGGCTGCGCGCGCGCGCGACTCCCATCGATTCTATGCATACATTCGAGCTTCTATTGCCCAACTAAAACGGTAAAATTTGCGTCGTTTGCCGTCGAATACTCGAGGCTGGAATAAACGTATAATACGTATAATTCCGGATATCGAGTGCAGGTGCACCGGAACAACGCGAACGGAGAATGCAGCTTTGTGCCGCGAGTGAGCAGAGGCTCCGTGAGAATTAATGGCGGGGAATTCGAGGTTATAACGGAAGGAATCTGTGCTAAGCCATCGAGAAACAGAACGGTCGCGCATAGGTGGCTGGACCATTAATATTATCGGCCAAACTTTGCTCTCCATCCTTGGACGAATCCGCGACGTCGTAATTCCTCCCTTCGATCCGACAGAGAAGAGAGAGAGCGAGAGAGAGAGAGCGAGAGAGAGAGAGAG